TATTTTATAAGCTCATCGTTGCTGTTGCTGCTGCTGCTGCTGCTGCTGCTGTTGCTGCTGCTGCTGCTGTTGACCTATGGCTATAGCTGACCTGGGAGAAGCAGAGCAGCAGCAGCAGCAGCAACAGCAGCAGCAGCAGCAGCAATGCTTATTAAAACCTATTAAATACCTGAAAGCAGCAAATAAAGAAAGAAAAAATACAAAACAAAAGAAAATAAAACACAGCAGCAGACGGAGCGGGGGTGGGCCTGGTGCCTCAACGCCCCGTGCGGTGTATATATAGTATGTATAAGTATAGGGTTTATTTTTGTGTATTTTTTTTGTTTTTTTTTTGTTTTTTTTTTTAATATTATAATTTTTTCTCTTACTTTGAATTAATACTTGTGCTTCTGCTGTATTTACACCAAAATAACAAAAAAAAATACACATATATGAAGGGTATCGATAGGAGGCACCTATATGGAGCACCACGCTGCTGCTGCTCCCCCCAAGCAGAGCTGTATTGTATAAAAAATAGATTTCTTTTGCGAAATAAATGAATTAAAATAAATTAAAATTATTTATTTTTATTGTTTTTTTGTTTTATCGCGGAAGAAACAGCTGCTTTCTATGAGGATCTGTTGTTTTTATATATCGATAGGTGTCCTTGGGTACTGTAGCGGCACACACACAGCAGCTGGGGGCGATCAGCATATTTCATGTTTTTTTTTTGTTGAATTTCTTCGTTTTTTTATTTTATTTTTGTTTATTTATTTTTAAACTTTATTAAAATCATAGAAAGAAAAATTATTCTCTTTAGAAGACAAGATACTGGTGTTGATGGCTAGCTGGGGCGTCGTCGCTCGCACCGCTGTGCTGTTATACTGTTCTCTTTCTGCTTGAACTTTGCATAAAATTTCAATGAAAATTAAATAAAAATAATAAAAATAATTTAAAAAATTCAGCTTTATGCAGATGAGTAAGGGGAAGACACGGGGTGTATAGGCAGCTCGATTGGTGTGGTGGGGTGCGTGCAAGTTTGTATGGGGGATATATTGTGTTTGTTTTTCTATGGAAAGCGGTTGCTTTTATGAATAAAAATTCATGAATTTAATTTATTAAATTAAAATAAATAAAATTACTCAAAAAAAAATATTTATTTCATCTGCTTTCTCTCTTATTTTCTCGCTTTCCTTTGCTTTCTCTCTACCCAGCCCAAGTTGTACAGCTCAGCATATTGAATATTTCAGAGAAAAATAATTTTTATGAATTTGTTGTTTTATTTTTTATTTATTTATATTTATAAAAGCTATATTTTATATATATATAATATTATAATTTTATTTTATATATTTCATATATTTATGTTTATACAGGCTGCCTCATATATACCATTGATACCGCATGCAGCTGGCTGATCCTATCGTTTTTTTTTTTGACTTTTAATAATAAAAATTATTATAATAATAAAATTTATTATAATAAATAAATTTATATAATGCGTATATATATATATATATATATATATGCATTATATATATATTATATATATATATATATATATAATAGGGGCGTTCAGCTAGCAGCCATCGCTGCTGTATAGAATATATATTTCATGCTGCTGCTTCATCAGTTTTGTGTTTTTCTTTGTTTTATAAATTAAATATAAAATAAAATTTAAATAAAACAAAATTTAATAGAAACCGTAATTAAAATAAAGATCAGTATATACCTGAAACGCTCTCTTTCTTTCCTTCTCTAAACCCTAAACCCTAAACCCTAAACCCTAGACAGTAAACCCTAAACCCTAAACCCTAAACAGTAAACCCTAAACCCTAAACCCTAAACCCCGAATTTATAATTTGAGTGAACGGTATTGTTGGAGGCCTAAAAACTATTCAAGCATACTAATCTATAAATGCATCTCATTATATCTACTAATACATATATATATATATATATATATATATATATATA